CGAGGTGGCATGAGTGCAATTAAATCCATAAATTCATGATGAGATTAATGTTTTAAATATACAATTTTGAATATAGAAATATTAAATGATTTAAATAACTGAAAAGATACTTTAAAAATTAAACAAACTGTCAGCAGGTGGCGGTAAGTCACTGATTTTTATTACTGAATGATTCATTTGAACGGCTGATTCATTCAGGAATTAATCAAGTGACTGTCTTTATGAATGGGTAATCATGAATCACTGACTCACTAGATTCGTTTTAAAAAAACAGTTAATTCATAAACGAAACACCGCTGTGTTTGAATGGAGATGCGCAGCGGCTCCGCTGTCTTTGTTTTAAACTATTTTCGACGACGAAATAGAGCAAAATCAGACAATAGAGTTATAGTCAGACAATGCAAGTCACTTAATATTAATTTCTTGTTTATTGAATTGTATTGTATTAAATCAGTATCACATTTACAAACTCCCTTAAAAATCATTAAAAGCTGACACTCAGCTCATCGTGAGCTCACATTTATAATCCACGAAGCTCTCTACACTGCGCAATGAATCTCTTATTTACTCCGTCTGCACTTTGCTTATGAAAGGATTCGTGAGATATGTCTGTGATACATTACTCAACGCTGCAAAAACACGTAGAAAGCTTTGAAGCTCCCCTCAGCGATCACAAATATGATGATGATCGGGTCAGTCGCACTGGTGCTCCTAAAACATTTTCAGTCGCACGCAGTAGTTTTCAGTCGCAAATGCTTCGCGTCAGGTGGTTCTTATCTTCACGTCGTGCATTAAAATCGTTCAATGTACAGCAAGCCGTGCATTATCCCTTATGTATTCGCTCTTTAGCAGCAGTTTTTTACAGCAATATTTAAATGACACCCTGATCATTCTTGGTGTACCCAAAATGGTCCCACACTATCGACAAGCATTTCTCAGGTGGAAATAAAGCTTCGCTGTTTGGTCCCTCTGTCACAGTGAATCTAATGCATGTAGTAGCCTCCGTGCCTCTGATAAGCACGTCAATTTAAGCTGGTGCACCGCTAGTGTAACTATTTTCGTTTCGCGCCAGTTCCGTTCCGTGTAAAAGAAACACTCGGTTTAGCGGAACCTTTACGATTAATTAACCGTGACGTTTTAAAGCGCGGTTAATCGCGAAACCGGTTAATCGCTGCATCCCTACCCCCGACTAAAAAAAATTCTGGTCGACTAGTATAGTCGTTCATTTTAAGCATTAGTCTACTAATCGCACTGTTATGCTGTTAATTAAGAATAACAATGAATCCATCTTTTGTTTTAGTCTTAAAAAGTGAAATATGAATAGATGTATGTAAGCAAATCAGACAATTATTTTTTTCTTGTAAAACGTGACACCAAGATCGCGAATTCGAAAGTGAAAGCACCCGAAGCCCAGCTTATAACATGATGGGAAACTCCCGTTCACAAAATTTAAATCACAAATAATACTGATGACAAAGAAGGGGTTGAATGTTAACCACTTTCGTTTTCATGTAACTATAAACTATGATAAAAGTTCATCAGCATGCATTGATTAATCCCTAAAAATAAAAATATTGCTACCAAATCATGTGCTGGTGTGACCAACTGAGAAAGTTAGTCGCAAAAGAGCGACCAGTGGGAAGAATGAGTCTGGAACCCTGAAGCATAAAACACAGTTTTATTACATTAGATATTTACATTAGATATATGAACATGCTATTAGATAAACTGTTGTCAGTCATGTTGTCATTTAAAATCCGGACATCATTGGCAATGTTATTGTTTTAGTTATGCAAACAAAAACTAATTTTATTTGTTGATTTTAAATGTAAAACTTGGTGACATGATTTGTGTGTCAGTACTTTTTGAACATTTCCAGCACATTTGAACAATACCGTGATAATACTGATAACCGTGATCATTTTGGTCACTATAATCGTGATAAGAAATTTTCATACCGTTACATCCCTAATACAAAGTGACCACCCAAAAAGGGGTATTATTCAACAATCTGAATATGGAGCCTCATTGACATCCCGATATCTCTGGGACTGAACAATGTAGGGCCTTGAAAATGAAGATTCCAAAAGAAAGGTTTATTAAGAACTAGACTCTAAAATCATATTGCAATATCTTTAATACTTCTTGTTATTACTTCACACAAACTTTGGAAAAAGAATACTCATGGCACTCAGACAGGTATGTTCAATGCAGTCGTTTGGACAGAAGGGAACAAGATGCATTTCTAGTTTCAACATTATTTGTTCTTCAGACATTCCTCTTTAAGAGAAAAAAAAGTATCATATTTTTAGAAAATGACCCACATTTGGTTTTTGACCACTGAAAATGTGTACAATTTAACAATTTACTCCTGGAGTCATATTGAAACTCCATTATCTCTGAAACCAAACCATATAGGGCCTTAAAAATGAAGATGTCAAAAGGGAAGTATGTTAAGACCCAATATCTAAAAGGGCATTAAGATGTCTTTAATACTTTTTTGAGGTACAGGCCTGCAAACTTTGGAGAAAAACTTGAAAAGTGCTCTTTCCCCATTTTTGAATGGTCACCATTGGCGCATAATGCAACAAAGATTGCTAAACTCAACATATTTTAGACCTACCAATCTCTGGGTGAAAATAACATTGTGATCCTGCCATCTTTCTGAAGTCATTTTTAACCCCCTGTAATTTGGCTCTGAATCTCAGGTGAAAATGGCCATTTTGACCCCCCTCTACAAAATAGTGGATTACTTAAATATTCATAACATAATATTCATACTTGACATTTTATATTTGGGCTATCATCACTATACATGTTTATTCAGAAAAAAATATTAGCAAAATCAAAAATTTGAGCTGGGGAAATTTCTGAAAATTGAATGATTTGATACGGAATGACCCAAAAGTAACTGATTGATTTTTGATTTTGGCAGATCTGCTCCTTCACTGAAGCTCCTTCCACTGCAATTCACCAATAAATGCTGGAATTTTCCCATCAGCCTACAAGTGAAGACCAGCATGAAACCATCAAGAAGAAGCCTTAGTAAAAGAAACGGTTAGCACCTTTATTTGTACAGTAACAACCACAACAGCTGTGTTGAATTAATGCTCCCTGTTTGTCATGTAACAACACTGTAGCATACTACTCTGAAACATTATTTGCTGCTTATTGTATACTGTTTCACACACACTATTCTTAATAAAATAGTAGGCAGTATGCACTGTGTACTGGGCAGTAAGCAGAAGGGGTGGAATGATAAATTGATTTGTGGATCGTTTCTTAACCGCAAATGGCTCCAGGTGTTATGGCTCTACACACGCCCCAGTGGTGTGTGTGTAAGGAACTGGAGAGTATGGCTGTTTCTAAAGCACGCAGTGCCATCTGCTGTTAAAAACTAAGCTCAGAATCGATTCCAGAGAGAATCGTGATGCTTTCGGACAATCACAGAATCGATCCACAAATTGATTTATCGTTCCACCCCTAGTAAGCAGTAAACAAGTGTGCCATTCTGGACACAGCCATTGAGTCATTCATTCGATTCATTCAAACGGATGAATTTTAGGGGCATATAACTGCATTCTATAGGCTCCGTCACGCAGTGAGTTCTGCATCATATTCATCACCAATCAACTGTACAGGTGTGTTCGGCTTGAAGTCAAATTACCAGAGGAGCGATTAGAGAGCAGATGCTCCGTATGAATACTTTGATGTCAAACACCGATTTGTCTGCACATCGCTGCTTCAAGCCGAACACACTGTATTAAATGTAAGATGATGTATGTAGGTCTTGTATGTAGGTACATTAATTGCATTAATAATTTTAACACGTAATTGTTTCCATAAATATATAGTTCAGTCATGAAACTCTAGATGGTGCATTCTGACGGGGTGTTAACGTAACTGATGATATTCAGAGAGTTAAACGACTTGGCACAAGATGATTGGTTCATGCTGCATATGCAGCCAATGAGCTTACTGCCTTGCATTTATATGGCTGGCTAGCATTCACTGAGATTCTTGCAGCGCGCTTTCAGCGTTCTCTGAAACCCTCCGCCTTCCCCAGCTCCACCTGTATAGATCTGCAATGGGGTTATTTTATATGCTATATGTGCAGCAGCAGTATGTCTTAAATACTCATGGCACCGTATCGCCATATGCATTGGCAGTAGCAAGTTCCTGTACTTGCTTGCAGCAGCAGCAATAATCTACAACTACAGCAAAAACCAACAGCAGCAGCAGCGTAGCAGATCTGTTCCACCAAGACCAAATGCATTAACATTGTCATATCCATCACCATGCTAAAATGTTCAGAGAGTTGTCATGATTGAACTAATTAATTAAATTCAAACGTTAAATTGACAGCCCTAATTTTTTATTTTCATTTCAGACCGGATGGAGGAGAAACATCATTGTGTCAAAACTGGAGAGAAAACTCACTCACAGACTGAAGGTAGTTGTTTACTGAAAAGAAGAGACAAGAACAGTTTCATCTGCTGTCAGTGTGGAAAGAGTTTGACATGTAATAAAAGTCTCAAAGTTCACATGCGGATCCACACTGGAGAGAAGCCGTTCACATGTGATCAATGCGGTAAGTGTTTTGCAGAAAAAAGAAGCCTTACGTTGCATATGAGAGTTCATTCGGGGGAGAAGCCATTCACTTGTGATCAATGTGGGAAGAGATTTAGTTGCTCAGCACATCTGAAATCACATGAAAGGATCCACACTGGAGAGAAACCTTACACATGTGATCAATGCGGAAAAAGTTTTTCACAACTGCGAAGTCTAAAAGAACATAAGAAAATACATACTGGCGTGAGAGAGTACATGTGCTTTGAGTGTGAGAATACTTTTATTACAGCTAGAAATTTGAAACGACACCAGATGATCCACACTGGTGAGAAACCTTACATGTGTTTACACTGCAACAAGAGATTCATTCGGTCAGAACAGCTGAAAACACATGAAAGGATCCACACTGGAGAGAAACCTTACATGTGTTCACACTGCAACAAGAGATTCAGTCAGTCAGAACATCTGAAAAGACACCAGATGATCCACACTGGAGAGAAACCTTACATGTGTTCACACTGCAACAAGATATTCAGTCTGTCAGGAGACCTGAAAACACATGAGAGGATCCACACTGGAGAGAAACCTTACATGTGTTCACTCTGCAACAAGAGATTCAGTCGGTCAGGAGACCTGAAAACACATGAGAGGATCCACACTGGAGAGAAACCTTACATGTGTTCACACTGCAACAAGAGATTCAGTCGGTCAGAACATCTGAAAAGACACCAGAGGATCCACACTGGAGAGAAACCTTACATGTGTTCACACTGCGACAAGAGATTCAGTCGGTCAGAACATCTGAAAAGACACCAGATGATCCACACTGGAGAGAAACCTTACATGTGTCAGGAGACCTGAAAAGACACCAGATGATCCACACTGGAGAGAAACTGTTTCACTGCACTGTATGCAGGGAGAGTTTCACTCAATTATCTAATCTACTCAAGCATACAAAAAGCAATCACAGTAAGTAGATCATCTACAGATCCAGCACTCTCAGGTCTGATGCCTCGTCTGCACCAAACATGACACAATAACATTTCTTCTGTATAAATCTGTCATACGCAGCCAAAAAAATGACAGGACAGGACAGGACAAAAAGCATTTAAAGTTTTCATCTGTGAGATTCAGATGGTTCTTTTGGATTTTTGAATTGTTAAATTTTTTTTTTTAAATAGTAAAGGTTTTTGACATTTAAGCCATTATTGTTCTCTAGCTAAGAAGAGGATGTAATACTTTTAAGAGAAACTGAGATTTAATTTTAATTTGTTACATATTGTTTTTTTTTTCTTTATCTGAGATCTGTCTCATTGGTTTCAACTTTCACTTATTTTTTTATTTGCTTCACCAAGAATTAAACTCCTTAATAATTCTATCAACAAATTGTATTGTCTACAATTATTGTCTGCTCATTGTAGCCTACTTGCATCAAGAATAAATCATTTTATATTTTTAGTTAGACTTCTATCTAAAAGCCATGAACTATTATGATTGCTTTTTGGGGCTTTCAACTCATTTTGTTGGTGTGAAATAACACAGTTATTGGAAAATTAAAAGTTAAAGTTACAGCTTCAATCTCCTCCAGAAAGTGAGATCGTATTTCCCAGCAAACACAGAACGTTCAGCTAACGGATTTTTTCTGCTGTTGTTTTTTTTTGGGAACCAAATACTAACGTTAGGGGAATGTTCTTTAGATTACGTACGTTAGGTTAACGTTCTCAGAACGTTGCATGGTGGTTATTATTAAATAACCTAAAAATAACTTCCTAATGGTTATTCTCAGGTTATTTTTATAACCCTGTAATACTATCTTTCCAATGAAAGTGTTGCAGATATTTTTGTGTGATGACCTATACAGAGCCCTGAAATTCGTTTAATTCAGCATTTATTAAAATACAGAAATAAGATAAATCAAAACACATTTCAAATAATAATATTAAGCCAGGGTTAAAAGGTCCACTGAAGTGCTTTGAAACACGCAGCATTACCCAGGTAGCCAGCGCAATCGGGCCAATTGCGGCTGTGTTCTGGCAGCGGCTCCCCGAAAGTGAGCCAGCTCTGGCCCAGTAATGGTTGGCAGATTTAGCTAGGCTTTGGATGTGCGGATCTGGCCCAATTTGCACTGAGACACGGCACATTTAGCCACATTTGGCTCGATTACGGACCATAAGTGCTGGTCTGAAATATGGGCATGCATACCCGGACCAGTTTAGGTTGAGTGCTGGGGGTGGGTCTCTGTTTACAATGTGGTAAATAGTATGTGGTTAAGGGAACTTTAACATTATTTTTGATATACGAGTTTCAAGACATGCGCACTAGCTTTGACATCTAATGACAAAACCTGATGGGCTTTTTGTGCTGCTAATTGCCAGAAGACCAGAAGAACTTAATACACTGGTGAGTAAACATTCGATAATCTATCATATAACATTATTTATATATTTATATATACATATTTTAATAAACCGCTCTACACATATAATATCAAAGTAATGTTTATTTATAATGAAGCTATAATTGTGAGTTTGCTGACATAGTGCTAGAGTTTAGCTCCAACCATAATCAAGCACACCTGATCCAGCTGTAGGATATCAGACAATCTAAGATTTGGTCAAAACATGGTTGAAACGAGGAGTCCAAATTCCACAGAGGCCCAAGACAACAGGATGTCATAAATCAGACCCTAGCCAGTCTGAAGCAAGCCTAACCAACTCTTTTACAGAACAGCTTTCAACATTAAAACAAAAGAACACTTATTGACAATTCCAAGGAGATTGTCAATTTTGGGGGCAAGTTAACAATGTCCAAATGTCCTTACATATTAATGGTGGAGTTCCCTTTAAAATCTTAAATGATTCCCTTTGAGCTAAATTATTGACCTGTTTCCCTTACACCGCTAATCAAGGTCTTCAGGATCACTAGAAACTTCCAAGCAGATGTGAGCTGGAGCTGGTTGGAGCTAAAATGTGCAGCGCTGTGGCCCTCCAGGAATTGAGTTTGACACCACTAGTCTATAGTATTGCGACTGATCTCTTTTTTTTTTTTTTTTCTTCAATCAGTGCAAAGAAATGCAAGTACTGGCAGTGCATCAGATGGAGAGATTGAAAAGTTCATCAAAGATGGCTGCTGCTCACTTTGGACAGAGATGGGGAAGAAAAGAGCGGGCCCGAACAAATTCTTCCAAAGGTATGTTCCAAATGTTAACATTTACCAGAGTTACCATTCAGAGTTATCATTCAGTCTGAGATTGTCTGAATAACCATACGTGTCATTGTCTCTTCCCCTTTTTGTCTCTCTTTCTGTCAATCTGTCCCTCTTTTAGGGTACGCTTATTTAAGGAAGCTCCTGGAGTTTTTTTTTTTTTTCAAATCAATTCTAATAACACTCATAGTTTCATTGTGTCTTTTTTATGGGGTAGTAGGTGGGGATGCCATGAAAAGAAATGGTGTATGGGCCAAACCCTTAATCTTTGTAAAGGTGACATATTTAGTGGACATGCATAAGTACATGTAGACTTAACAAGGACACTGTAAAATATGTATTTTATTTTAGTTGGAAGTAGATGCCATCTTAAGGATTTTAAGGTAACAATGTAATTTTGTGGGAAAACAAATTATTCAAAGCTCTGGTTTTATATCAAAACTGGAAGGAGTCTTTAATACACATTTTAGAAGTTGTAATTCTGTATGTGTAAGTGTATATATATATATATATATTTATATCACAGCAACCAAAATGGTACTCTTAGCCAGTACTGGCCCGAGTCTGGGTACTGAAACTGAGCCAACAACACCGGCAGACTTTCAGTACCCAGACTCGGGCCAGTACTGGTTAAGTGTTTCATTTCTCGTCGGTGTGATTGTGGCCCAATGCTGGTGGTGTTGGCCTAGTTTCAGTACCCAGACTCGGGCCAATACTGGCTAAGTGTTTCATTTCTCGTCGGTGTGATTGTGGGCCAATGCTGGTGGTGTTGGCCTAGTTTCAGTACCCAGACTCAGGCCAGTACTGGCTAAGTGTTTCATTTCTCGTTGGTGTGATTGTGGCCCAATGCTGTTGGTGTTGGCCCAGTTTCAGTACCCAGACTCGGGCCAGTACCAGCTAAGTGGTTCAACAATTTTAAAACTCATCTTAACCTACTTTAAGTAGCCTATTATTTATTCAGTCATTTTTCACCATGTATCGCTGCAATCTCTAGAAGTAATTATAACAATTTCAACTAAAATGAATGTTTCATCATGTTTCGTTTATTTGACAAATAATTTTGTATTGAAGTGTCAGAGGTCAGCAGCCACAAACTGATATAGGCTTATGTCCCTACTGAAAAAAATGATGCGGTTTCCACATCAAATAACATTACAAACCATCAACTTTTAACCAATAAAACCATTAAAATGGTTTTCTGTAGTGTGTTTTGGGAAATATTCCATTAGGATTTATTGATTTTAACAAGCCACCAATAGAAGGCAGGAATTACCAGTAGAGACCAACAGGGTCCATCACAGTTTCCAGTAAAACACATACAAGTCCCATTATAACCAGTAAAACCATTACACATTTTCTAATGGTGTCTATTGTTTTTTTCAGGAGGGGTTTTATTTATTTATTTATTTTTATTCAAAATATTCCCAAAATATATCATGAAATATCTCGATTCTCAAATATGTGCAAGTAAATGCATTTTGCACCTTTATAGATTATGTTAGTTCTCTAGTTAAGTAGCTTAATAGTGTAATCTAATAACTTTACATAAAAATCCATCTATTTTCTTAAGTACCAGATATGGGTGTCATGCCATAAAATATTAGTTTAATACGACTGACTTTGTATTTAATTTGAATTTAATAAAAACATAGTAAGTTACTAATTAGCCTATAACACTTTCATTGTACAAAAGAGCAAAGAACATTTACATTATCAAAGAACATTTTCACTTCAGTCCAGCAAGTTCAAGCACTCTCAAAATCTCCCATAATAATCTTTAAAGCTGTTTACATTGTGAAATTAATATCGTACTTACATTCTTACATCTTCACTTTGTTGTTTCTGATGAGAGAATTAGCCAGAGAATTCATTAAGCCAGCTCGTGTGGTGATGAAACAGCGTGTTTCAGCGATGACTCTTCTGAACGCCTCTGATTGGTCCTTGCATTCATAAGCTTAACAGAATCGTATGGGATTGGTTATAATGCGCAGTGCTTTAAAAACGTACTCAGTTACTTACGTAACCTCGGTTCCCTGAGATACGGGAACAAGTACTGCGTCGCTAGACGCTAATGGCAAAAACAAATTTTTCTCTGAGGACTGAAGACTTTTTCAATCACACAGTGTAACTGCACGGCCATTGGTTCATGCAGTGATTAAAAACTTCGACTGAAGCGACGACACTGAGTCGTACGGCGTCATGGCACAGTAAGGAATCTCAGGGAACCGAGGTTACGTAAGTAACCGAGTACATTCCCTTTCGATACTTCACTCGTACTGCGTCGCTAGACGCTAATGGGGAACAAATACAATCCCGCTGTGCCATGAAAGAGGAACGACTGATATGAACTGGCCTTGAGCAATAAAGGCTCAGAGGGACCAATTATGCGCAGGGTGAGCCCTGCTGGAGGCAAGAGGGCTGAACTCATTGAGGTCAGATGATCGTTCCAACGGTCCTATGTACAGCCTCAGCACTAGTAATAGGGCCAAGAGGGCTCCTACAGCGTAGACCACTCCAATCCCAGCTCCTCAACTGCCTTAGAGAGGATGCAGAAAAGTTCGGCATCCATCCCTAGCTTAGAGTTGCTGGGCTCGGCAGACGATGAAGGGGCAGGGTCAGCAATAGGGCCTGACATCTCCTCCTCCTGATGCTATTAGAGACATGCTGTC